CCCTTGAAACGAGTGACTAAATTTAGAAATCTGTTGAGGAAGTAGTAAAAAGTAATAAATTTATTCTTTTTAAATCTAGTTCACTTTAATATTTTATTTTAAATTTATTTTACTAAGACATATCAGTACCATATATAAATAAAGATTAAAAAATGTAAACACAGCCCCTTTCAAAATATGCGTCTAAATCTTTGCGAATTTAGCGAACTGGATCCAAAAACGGACCTGATCCCTATTTCCATATTATATAATCTCCATCATGGTTGTAAAGCCGCAGTAACAGTATCAAGAGAAAATTAAAGGGGACAGTCTTACAATTTACTTACTTATTATGCTCGACATCATGAGCATGCTGAGTTTTAGGTCTTCACAAGAGGAGGTAATGCTGACTATACAAACAGGAAGTGGGAAAACATGCTGGGTATATAAGCTCTCCTATTTAGGAGGAGAAAAGTGGTAAAGAAGAGTTTTGTCCTTTTAATGGCCAGTAACGCACTTGTAAAAATATGTTTATACTTTTATATTGTAGCATGTATAATTATATGATGTAATTGTTCAAAATGATACCAGGATGACTGAATAAGAATTGATTCGCCTTTAACACAATTATTGCTGAACAAGTGGACCAAAATTCCTGGCCCTTAATTTGGGGCTTAGGTTAAAGTAAAAACTTAATGTGCCAAGACGTTTACAGAACAGAAATGTTCATCCATCCACATTTAGGTAAATTTCTCTTTTATAGAAAAATTGTCTAAAGAATTGAAAACTTTCACAGCCTTATTGAAGTATCACCGTTAATTTTAATTCAAACCACCTGCATATAAATGTCATGACTTTCACTTTAACCCTTGTAAATCAAATTTTTTTTTACACTGCTTTCCATTGCATTAACTTCTTAATGGGAATGAAATCATGAAATGAAAATGCTCATGATTTTTAAGGTGACAGCATTAATTAACATGTTCAATGCAAGATTAAATGACATCCGTGAAAACCATCTTTTATTTCATGTCTGCACCATCTTGAACCCTATTTTAAAATCTATTTCTCCTTCCCCCAGCAACCTGATGATTTAATTACGTATAAAAAAATAAAAAATTAACTAGTCCGTTATAAGAAAAAAAGATATAATTTGCTGACTCAAAATCTAACTCTCAAGAGGGAGGCCATTGTTACAACGTTCAATGTACTAGGTGATCTTTGGCCAACCATGTAATCAACACCTTCTGAAATGAATACTTCATAGCATTCAAAATGGTGGTCGTATTGAACAATCTTTTCAATATGTGCAGTGGCCTGGTCACCACCGGGGTTTGATCCCGGCTTGTGTTGACTTCAGATGTGTAATTAACACAGTCGGATGCCAATTGATTTTCATTGATAACCTTATTTAAGACCAAACAGTTAAAATTAATTCTTAACTAAAAACCACCACAAAATGTTCTACCAAGCATAGTGGTTTAGTATATGCTGCTGTTTGCTGCAAATATATGAGCCGCGTCACAACAAAACCAACGTAATGCGTTTGCCACCAGCATGGATCCAGACCTGGGCCTGCGCATCCCCGCAGTCTGATCAGGATCCATGCTGTTCGCTATCAGTTTCTCTATTTGTAATAAAGTTTGTAAGCGAACAGCAATTGGATCCTGATCAGACTGCACGAATGCGCAGGCTGGTCTGGATCCATTCTGGTCGCAAATGCATTTCGTTGGTTTTGTCATGCCGCGGCTCATATGTATTTTTCAACATGGAAGATTATTAAAGATTTATGCAACAGCTGCTTGTAGAGCATGAAATCTGAGCCAATGATATAATCAGAATCAGCTATGATGTCTAAAACAAATACAAAGATTAACCACTGAACAAAATTTATATACATGTATGTCTAGATAACAAATAGTAACTTACAGAATATAATATATTTGGGTAGGAATCATATTGTAAAATAGAGAAAAACAGAGCAGACCCTTTAGAATGCTCCTAACAGCAAAATCGAAAATGTTGCAGTCTCATTTTGATTAAGCTTCTTCATGGACGGTACTGTTTAAAGGTAAGCTCTCATTCACGTCCCATAGCACTGACTTAACAGAATTCAATATTTATATGCACAAAAAGGGGGAATTTTGAATTTAAAAACATCTGCAGATATGTTCATACAGTGGCTACAATCATTGAACCTTCAATGTCATAAGGGTCCCCAAGTAAAAGCCCACATTATTAGTTGAGGATAAACAACCATCTATCCAACCAGGTCTCCTGACTCTCAGAACAGTTGTTTGATTGGTTGATTCAGAAAAGATATCTAAAACTGACCAATAGTACCTTTCCATCATAAGACTTTCATTGTATATATAGACAATTGAGTGGCATCAGACATTCCCTCAGTGGTTAAGGGTGTCACCTTTTTTTAATCACAACCCAACTGCTTATTATCAGAGAATGATTCTGTATGGTAATCAGTGCTAACTCATTAGCAACTTTAACCAACAATGGTTTAAAACTGACAGTGGTAAGAAAAATTAAAACGCAATTTAGGAAAGGTTAAATATGCAGCAATCATTTAACAATTAGTCACTCTTTGAAGAGGACATATTTCAGATTTTCTAAAACGTTTCAGTGAGATTAAACAAACAATTAGTAGGTAGAAAATAAATATGTAAAGAAGTACCTTGCTATTACATACGTAGGGGATATAAAGGTATCAGACATCAAGTCTATGGGAATTCCAAATGGCCGTATTATGTTTTTGCAAATTTCGCAATTTACTAAATGCTTCTTAAACATAGGTCTTATACTTATGCTGTTGAAATGTCCGTCAGATTTTAAAGATTATATTCTAATAAAGTCTTTTCACAGACACACTGTCTTTGATGGTCATAAAAACATTGTTTGTTTTATTGTAACTGTCGGGTCAAGATAACATCAGGAAAGGGGGGCATTAATTGATCGGACAATTAAAAATCAACAGCAAATTCGGCACTTTACAGTATTAGGAACCTTTCATTTCAGACAATAGGATAGGCTAAGTAAAAGTAAAGATTATACTTATGTAAGCCTTTTTAAAAAAGCATTTTACATATCCCAAAATCAGACATGATGACCATAAAATAAAAATGTCTTATTGCAATATATTTTTATTGTATTGTATGGCAGAATTATTCTATTCAGAATTGGTAACCAGTTGTGATAAGTATGTAATATTTGATTTTGTAATATCTATTATTGTCAAAATATTTCTTAATACTTTTTAACAATTGAAAAGCTTGATTAAATCAGGTAGCACAGGCATACCAAGACCTTGCAAACCCTTTGTGCATCATGAAAAAAAAATGTATCATGAAAAATACATCTTGTAGAATTAAAGGACTCCGGTTAATTCTTATATCTGTTAAAATAAGTCTACTTTAAGTTAATAATTTGATAAAGAAACTTAATAAGAAATGAGTACATCTAACAGGGGCTTTGAGCAAATGAGTACGTCTAGGTGGGCCTTTACACATATGAGTAGTTCTAGCAGGGCCTTTAAACAAATTAGAAGATCTATGAGGGCCTTTAAACAAATGAGAAGGTCTATGAGGGCCTTTAAGCAAATAAGTAGGTCTAGGTGGACCTTTAAGCAAATGAGTAGGTCCAGGTGGACCTTTAAGCAAATGAGTAGTTCTAGGTGGGCCTTTAAACAAATGAGTAGGTCTAGTAATCTATGTAAATCATCACCACTCATGATATGCCTGGTATGTAAATTTGACACATAAAAAGTTAAACTTAGCGCTCATTTTAGGTATGATGCAATTTTATACATTTTTGTCTCCTATCACCTTAAAAAATCTTCACATCCATTTAATGAACATTTAATTGTTCTATGAAACTGTGCCTGAAACTTTTGGAAAAATTCAATCTGATCTGGTAAAAATCCCCGTCCTATATCATAATTCACTACCTGTTTTTATATGAAAGTACCTGACATTTATTCATACATGTTTTCATGTAAAACCATATCTTCAATCTATCTATCTTATATATTAACTTCAAAGGCCTTTTGTGGTTAGCAAATAATCCTGAGGATATGTCCTTGAGTTGAAATACTAATCGCACAAATATGGCAAATATGTTGTAAAAATACTTATCTATAAATGCAGATAATAGATATATTTATAGGCATGAGAAAAAATAATACAGTGGCATGAAAGAATACAAATTAACTGAAATATGCCGTTTTTTTTCATGCAGAGCCAGCCTACCATTACATGTAAATGTTCCTCGATGTAAAAACTGTTAATGCACTTTATTCCACGCTAAAAGAAAGACAGCTTTGTGCGCTGGGTAGAATTCAGATCATGAATTCCCCTTGTCGCAAGTTATTCATGAAAACCATTGATGAAGTTTTTACTTGAAGTTACAAACAAAGACATGGTTTGTTTGAAAAGTATTTGTTTACAAATGAAATAAATATTTTGCACAATAAGCAATTTGCAAGGCAAAGAAAAGCTGGCCTGTGAATACGATTACACTGTGAGTGTTATGCAATTAAGATGTGAAATATGATTTCAAGATTTTAACAGCCTAGAAATATTTTTCGAAGCACCCAGCAATGAAAAGAAAATCTGCAAACTGGAGTTTAATATCCATCAACTGAAATAGGGTGACAGTAAAGTTTAGAAAAGTGAATTTCTGTACATTAATTATATAGTACAGAAAGTTAAAAATTTCAAGAAGTCGTGTAAAAATTGTTTAAATATTTTGATACTGTTTCCTTAATACATCCATTTATATTCCATCATAACACTGGCATTTCTTTTTATTACTGTTTGAATGTAAAAAGTAATGTTGCAAAAAAAGAGGGAATGCACTGTCCTCTCATCAAAGTTTTTCAGAAACAAACTTTACGATAAAGTACAAAGAAAAACAGGGTATATCGAGAAAACAGGGTATATCTGTTTCTAAAAACTATGCACCATATACTTTGAAACTAGTCTAAACACAGAAGAATTTGTGAAGTATACCTTTGGAGAAGTTCAAATTTTCCGGTTCAGGTTCGGGCCCATCATCCTCTATAATAGAGATGAACCGCTGCGGTTGTGTGGCGAGATCTACCGGAAGTTCGGCTAGTGACATTTCACTATAACTCCATAAATTATTCACAGATGGGTTAGTTACACTATTTATATGTTGTTCAGATTCGTACACACTTTTACGAGACAACGATGACCAGCTTTGACTCCGGCTTCTAAATCCGGAATCACCACCGGTTGAAACCGGTGTACTATCGTATGACTTAGACTGTGCATGTATAATTTTTATTTCAGTCTGGACTGGTTCCTCAATTTTTGGTTTTGTTAATTGTTCTTGGATCATCTGTTCCACATATTGTTGTTGTTTTTGTTTTGATGATAAAATAGAGAAGCTGCTGCTCCTTTCCCGTAGAGATAAATCAAACACTCCGCTACCGGGTCTTTTCTTCTTCTTCTGCAATTTGTTGTGAAGTTTTTCATAATCAGTTGAGTTGGTCCCAACACCTTGATGGTCTAATAAAAACTTTTGCATAGATTTTGTCATATTTGCAGCTTGGAGCTGACTTTTATCTAAGTTTTGTAGCAAGGAACTGCTTGCAGAGCTTGGCATCTCCTGTTGAAAGATCTTCTCTGGAGTTAAATTGTTTCCTATCAAGGGACTTGAACTTCTTCCTGTGGTATCAATGGAAGTTTTTATTCCAAATGCAGGACTTGCACTCCGTCCTGTTCTTTCTGGGGAAAAGTTAGAACCCAAAGAAGGGCTGGAACTCCTGTATGATTTATCAGGGGAAAAGTTGTGTCCAAGTGCGGGACTTGAACTTCTATTTGAGATCGGAGAGTGTGAACGACCTTGACTTATTGCACCAGGTGACATAGAACGAGTAGTTTCAAGGATGTTTGGTGAAGACGCTCTTTTTTGCGGCGTAACAATTGGTGAAGACGAGTCGTCTGCCTTTTCCGGTGTATCCCCATCTTTCAATGCCCTAGCAACGAGCATTCTCCGTGCTGAAATTACATCTGGACCAACATTGTCTGTTGAATTACTTTTTTGACTAGATTTCTTAGGATCAATGGCATACTGTGATGCCAAGTTACGACGAATTTCAGCACTAGTAGCTCCCATTGCAACATGCTTTCGATCATAGCGACCAAGATCAATTGCCGATGCAGAATTGGTTCTTGGTCGTGAAAACATATCCTCACTGTCCTGATTATCACCTGAAAACTGCGATGTTATACTGCGACACAATTCACCCACTTTACTACTCCCTTCAAAAGAAAGTAACTCCCCAACTTTACATCTCTCCTCATAGTCCCAATCATTAGAGCTTAAACTATGCATAGATTTTGATCTATTTGATAATAATCCAAGACTAGCATTTGAAAGAGACAAATCACGGTTTAAAGTTGCCATTCCTCGCCTTTTAGCCAAATCCTCCAACTGATCTGAAAATAATTCCCGAGAAACATTCCTCATCTGAGATACAGACAGTCTTGGAGATTCCGAATAATCTTCAATCAACTTGGGCTTATCAGATATCTGCTTGTTTTTCAAATTCTTTAAATTCGAACTTTTTATTAACGTATCATCTTCATTATAGGTAAACCCTGATGTTCCGAGACTGGTTTTTGAAATTGTACTTTCTCGGCTTTCCATATATTCTTTTGATGGAGTTGATGTTTTTGAACTTAGTTCTTTGGATGGCGTTAAATGTTTAGTTGGAGAATTTTGTCTGTAGTGAAAAGGACGACCACCAGGGGCCGATCGAGACAATTCAGCCATACTTTTCTCTTTTTTATTTTTACTACTCTTTTCATTACTGGGTATTTCCACTCCAGATTTTGTAAGAGTAGCAATAGGGATGTCTGGTCCACGTTTTATCACATGTCCATTCTGACCACTTTTTAATGCACCATTCTGACTCCCTCTTCCACTTCCTTTTCTCTGAGGCCGCGTCGACTCTCCAAACGAGCTACTTCTATCCCGAGGGGGGCTCTTACTAGCCTTGCGAAACCTTGAGGCCAACCCATTGAATGATCGGCTCCTCCCTCTAGACTCACTGGAAAAGTGCGGATCTTTCGAGCTTGATGATTTATTACCCATTATTATACATCACAATCAATCTGAAAGTAGACAAAATAAAACAAGAATTTAATCAGAGAAATATCTTCTAAAATTCTATTCCAACAAACAACAGTCACTATATTCAATCATTAAAGTAAAAAACAAAATATCCTGTCAGTAACCTGTCTTTAAATATGTGATTTAATCTTCGCTAAATATTTTATTCTGTGAACAAACTAAAACACATTCTCGTTATGAACATCTTTAAGTGAATGAGCCAGCTAAAAGTCTTCCCTATAAATGACAATAAGGAAAGTGTCATAAAAGGTCACTCTTTTGTAATATGAACATATTAAAACTTAAGATACATTAGATACAAAGGAAGAAGAATAGAATGATGTTTAGTATGAAAAAAACAATATCCATCTAGGAAGAGAAATTCCAAATAAGGAAAACCAATATACATGTTTAAACAAAGTATCAGATGGTTAAGTGAGTGAAAAACAAAAACACAAGCATCAGTTCAGAACAGAATCCTGAATCATCTTGCAGTAAATACCGATATATCTTATATCCAAAAACACAATCTACGACAATGCCACAAATACCCCTTTATCCTGCATAAAAAATTTTCATGTTCAAAATCCAAAAACATATTGACTAAATCAGAAAAGACCTAATCTTTAATCATCTCCTATTCATATTATATTCCACTTCAAAATGACACTCTTTTAATGATGTCATATTATGACATCACATGATGTTATATGACATCACAATTCCTAAAAGCGCACGTAAAAGGTTAAGGGTAAAACTGTTGTATATCCTATTGTATCACTGGGAAATTTACATCAGTTTAGCTCTAAATCTGCTATTTGTTTATAATTTGCACCTTTATGTGCTACTTTAAAAGTTATAAAGATGTAAAAATTTGAATAGATCATTAACCTATGGCTAATTTTCATATCCAATTTAACAATTCTTGCAATTACGGGTCTAGACAGGTCCTTAAAAAATCTTTTTTTTATAGCACATTAAAACAACAATTAAACACATACAATTACATTTAAGTTACGTAATTTCCAAAAATAATCAAGATGTAATCTCATCTTCAGGTACAGTAATTTCCCAAATATGCTATTTAATTTATAATCAAAATAACATACCTTCAAACAAAACAATTACCAAAATAATTAAAGACGAAAATATATTAATGAATTTTTCAACCATACCTTGATTTTCAATAGTTCAAAAATATAAATATTTTAAAAAATATATTTAAAACTAATCTCCATTTTACCCTCAATATATACATTAAGTTCCAAAATAATGTTCACAAAAAAAATACCAGTCTTATTCAAACTTCGCACTACCTTTATTTTTTTCCACACAAAGACCTTTATCATTCGCTCTTGATAAAAGTTATCCCCGTAAACACACAATATAGTAAATTTAATATATCAATTATCGATCCAGAAAGATTTTCATCAAAAACAAATCTATTAAGCTCGTAACACTGATTTTATCCTACCCACGTTTGTCACTCACTTACGTTTGTTACTCGCCAGTATTATAGCACTTAAATCCCTGACACACTTTCAAGTAATTTCGTAAAGCAACATTTATTCCTATAATAGCACAAAAACACGCCATAAAGGTAATGAAGCATGGCCTTACAAAACGTTTGCACGACTGACTCACTTAATCTCCCATCATAACGAGTGGTTGTGAACGTAACATGCTTCTGTTTTTTTATACACCACCGATATCAAATATTCATTGTTATATACCTTGACTCAGTGAACTATCCTTCTATTTTTTTAACCGTCACACTTACGCAATAGATATACATTTATTATCCCACTTGATAGAAATAACGTTCAAGACAAAGTTAAATCAAAACATTCTAAACAAAGTTAAATCACGATCATTGAAATTACAATTCTAATTCTGTCCTAATTAGGGTCTTTAAATTAGGTTAAAACGAGCCTTAATTAGGTTAAAAACCGTCAAGTACTAAAACATGCTTACAGACGCATAAACACGCATCAATGACCTAATTAGTTACAGAGAAAACTTTGAAGAACCCAACTGATGCAATGCACAATCAATGAAATTAACACTATTGTTTATTTGGTTAGTACGAACAACTCAACAGATTTAAACAGCCATTATTGAAGAAGGTAGAATCTTCAACCAATCCATCAGATAATGTATTTTAGTTCACATTAGAGATGTTAATTATCATCTAAAACCAGTTAAAATCTGTAATTCCCTTATTTTCGGGGATTTTAGAAACATTCAGAGACAATTGTATTTTTTTATTCAGGATTCCCCATAAAATATATCAGGTCTTTTTTTTTACTCATTGACATTTGTGTCTGCCAAACATCCTCATTCTGTTACTATAAATAGAAATCTGACAAAAACTGTCAATTTGTGTGCTTAGCTGATAAGTAATACTGGCTTTCAACACATCATAAGCTTGTTGAAAAAGGCACAGACAGAATTAGGCTTAAACTATGACTTACATGATTGTTTATTCCAAGGCATGTGTTCCCATTAAAGATTTATCGAATTAAAACATTACCCTTCTGTTTTTATCCAAAAAGCGAATCTTAAAATTTGAAACTTTCTCACAATTCTTTATAATACACAAACACTGCTGAAAAGTGTTTTTTTATTATTAAAAATTTATCAAATTAAAACATTACCCTTCTGTTTTCATCCAAAATCTGTAAACTTCTCACAATTTCTATTTTTATATAAACACTTCTAAATAGCTTCAAACGACAAAAAAAACTAACAACACCTTAAGCCTTTAAATAAAACATTTAAATCTCATTAAACTACTTTTAATACTTTTTTTACATTCCTTTTTTTTTCCAAAAAAATTAATTATGTCTGAATTCAAGTCTGTATATCATTTGACTGGAGGGTATGTCAAGTCAATCTTATCTTATATATTATCTATGACCTTAAATACTTGATAGTTATCCAAATATGCCTACACTCGTAACACTTTTACTTCATCTCGTAACTTTATAAATGAAAATATTTTAACGTAATATCGATTATCTCGGCCATTTGTTATAAAAATACATCTTATTTCATACTTCATAACCGGCCTTAAGACATTAGTTTCATTTTCTAAAGGAAGAAAACTCTTTATTGACTTAGTTTTATATTTATTTAAAGATCTTCGATAACAAGATTTCAATTATTATTATCAAATAATAATTCAAAACCTCTTGTTATATCATTTCAAGTAAAAATCTTTTGATAAACGTTCAATCTTTATCAACCATTGTGCAAAAATACTCTTTACATAATATAGCTTACCTTTATATATATTTATAGCCTTTTTTTTAAGTACAATATATCTCCTTGTTTTCTGTTATTTATTTATTTTTCCTTAAAATAGTCAAAACTAATAAATCATCTTCATAAATACATCCTGAACATACTAATTAACCAGTAAATCAATTATCCTTTAACTAATAAAATCCACTTTTTAATCTAATACAACTCTCGATCACTCAGAGCACTGTGACAAAAAATAATAATCCTTGGTATTTTTTCCGATCGTAAAATTTCACTAATTGCGTAGTATTACTACACTTGTTAACATCAATGTTATGAATAAACCCAAAATACTATCATATCCTTTAAGGTGCACAACTGTATTATCACCCGTCAATAGATTATGGTTATTCAACCGAGACGGAAAACGAAACGAGTAAGATGTTAAAATTAGATCAAGAGACGCTTCTCGTGTCCTCATTTTTCATGTAAACATGGCCTTTTTTTATGCGGGGACCCAAACATCAACTTACAAGGAGTGGTCGAGCCACTTAGGAGATACTTTATAACTATAACTACGTGAAATAAACACAGTTGAAGGAGTTACCAAATAATATCAGCAAATTTACATAGTAACGAAAGTTTCTCGATTTTTGTGGTTTTTCAAGTATATTTGAAAAGATCTAATCACAAAGGCCTGTCACCGGATGTTCTCAACATTTAATCAGTTATCCCGATGTCTTGCAATGATTTTAGTTGCAAATATAAATCCCATACTTCTCTCAACAGCTACTATAAATTTAAAATAGTCCAATAAAAAGAAATTCAGTGCAATTTATTGATAAAAACGGTACACACAAAAAAGCAGAAAATAATATTTTTGATTTTACAGCCTGACTGTACAAAAAAAACAATAAAAAGTATAAATTATACAGTAATAAAAATTAATTGTTACATAATTATGCAAGCACACCTACATCAATTACTACAATAGCCACACAATTATGAAAACAATATCAAGGAATCAACTTTTTTATTCAGTGGTTTTAAGCATTGTTTTAACTTGAACAATAAGAATTTGAGTGAGTTGGAATACCGTTTTTTTTCTTCTAATGTCCGACAAATAATAGATATTTAAAAGATTAAATACATTCATTAAAGTTAGCAAATTCTTATCAAAACATTCATCAATTTTAAATGATTGCACATTTTAAGTTAACTGAAAGCAAAGCAACACTACATTGGACTTAATTCCATCATTTCAAGCCATGTTAATTGATTCATCAAAAAAGACAAATATCAAAGTTTTAGTGATCAAATAAAGTCATGTGACAGGTGTCATGTACATGTACTAAATGACATCACAGAAAACAATACCCCCATAAGCTATAAACAATTACAAAAAAAATATATACAAATATTCCGATTTTTCTGAGAGATCAAAATCTAGCCAAAAATTTGATGACAATCTATAATAACAAAAACTTCAAAACAAAATACTGCACATATATTCATGTATGTAGATGGATAAACAATTACAAAATGATAAAGAGATAAATTACCTTATATACAAAGATAAAATAGTTCAAACAAATTAGCGATAACGAGGCTTTTATTACAATCATCAAAGTACTGAACTACCTGCTAATTTAAATTAACTGTAATGTGTGTCAAACACTTAAATAATTTCAGTTATGTTCAAATTAAAATAATTTTTACATGCATGTAACTTAAATTATGCAAAGATTTTTCATTTGAAACATAAATAATTAGTTTTAAATGAGGAAGCCTTATTAACTACCCTAAATATCTTAAATTATAAGACTTGTCTTCATACCATTCATAATTTTATTGGAAATTTTCAACAGTGCAGACAATGACAAGCAGGCTGATGCACTTTCATTCCAATTTTGCCTCTATATCTCAAAACAAAATAGCAAAAAAGCTAAACAAGGAATTCTGATTAAAAGCATTTTTCCAAAAAAAAAAAAAAAATAAACAAATAAATTTTCCCTGAATTTATGATAT